AAGAACCAAAAACCACAGTCATCATGGATCACACTTTGCAGTTCAGTAAACGATGGCATCTTCTTTTCTTATCAGCAAGTCGGCAAGGTGATCTTAAAAGGTGTTAACGAGCACTCGAAACCATCGTCTCATTGACAAATACAATCTATTGGTACGAAACTACCGCTCTATGCGACAAGGAGATAAGTAAAACTCTTCCAGAGCGAGTGCGAATTTATCTTAACAGCAAATTTAAACTCACATTTCTGTCAAGATCAGTAGAAGCTCCTCGGTCTTCTTCTGAGTTCCTTTCGTGTCATTGTCTTCCAACTCAACTCTCTCTCCAACGCGTAATTCTTTTGGGACATGTTTAAGGGAATTGTTCCCGCAGAATCCTTTGTGGTGTATTGCATCGCTTTTCCATGCCCAGTAGCCCATTGTCGCATTACGCTTTGGTCAGGTTTCGCACCCAGGGTATCATCTTTGCTAGGCAACTCTTTTGGTGTGCTGATCTAGTGGAGAAGTTCTCGAGGTTTCCTCCCTTTTGTGCAAATAGCCGGAACTTTTTGGGCATCATTGACTCTTTGACTCCGGTTTGTGTGGTCAGACACTAGGATAACAAATCTCTCAAGCACCGGGGCATAGAACAGAATAGAATAGAATAGAAACTTTATTAAAGTGTCAAAAACCGTCTAGCCAGGGAACAAATCCCTTACTAATTTGGGGACACCAATTAGGGGAGAATATACAAACTAAAAACTATATACAGTAGTAGGTAAAATATCTATAGTTAACTAATTAAGAGATTTATAGTAAAAATACACAGAAGTCAAAATGAACAAAGGCTACAGCCTGCGCAGCCATCATCTAAAAGTTCACTTATATTGAGTTGGCGTATCTTGCTTTTAAACGACGTTAGGGTTGTGACGTCCCTGATACTCTTGGGTTTTGTTTTGTCCATAGCCTAGGCCCTATCTAAATATCTATTGTAATTACTATTTGGTTCTTTAAAGATGTTACTTATATATGCAGGGCATAGTTTATGCTTTACTTTATATAGGTGATTTAGTCTCTGCCTTCCTAGTTGTTCATAACTAGAATTATTATCCTTGAAAACCGCTCTAAGTCCTCTTTCTTGTAGTCTTTCAAGCTTTCGAGTGTCAATTTTACTATTTTGGAATTTCATCGCGCTTTTGAATAATATTAAATTAGATTTCATAGGAATTAAATTACGTAGTCTCATTAGAACACCAATTCTCTGGCTGGCTTTTTTACAGATAGAGATTACATGCTCAGAGAAATTTAGCTTAGAATCTAACACTACTCCTAGAAGTATGATATTATCTTTAGTTTCAATCACAACATCATTCACGCAAATATTGCTGTCATTTTGAGTGAAGCCCAAGTTCAAAACTTGGTACTTTTTGAGGTTTCCCGCCAATAAGTTAGAATAGTACCACGTTGTTGCTAAGTTGGCACTATCCTTTAACTGGGAAGTCACAGCTGCCTGGTCTGCTCCTGCGTGGTAAATTTGATGGTCGTCGGCATACATAGACAAGTTCGCTGTTAGGCAGTAGGATAGGTCATTCTGGAAAACATTCTATAACAACGGGCCAAGCGCGGAACCCTGAGGACAGCCACGACTCACGAATCGGCTCGAACTAACATGACGGCCGATCTTTACTTGATATTTCCGTTCATTTAAATAGCTGTTTAAAAGTTGAATAGCGCTTTCCTGAAAACCGTACGCTTCAAGCTTGTTCAGAAGTAGTGGTGGGTGTAACGAGTCAAATGCCTTTGACATGTCAGTTGAAAGTGTCTTAAACACCCTTTAAAGTTTCCTAAGGGATGTAAAAACTTCATTGGCCTCTCCATAAGGCAGCCTTGTGGCCCAAGCGGTTTTCTCGTCCTAAGAAAGGGGATGTCTGATTGCATTTTGTGATTACGTAATAAAAGTACAACATCCTATAACACTTTTCATCACTCGAGAGCCCTTATGATTGCTGTGTCATGTAAAGAACCAGTTGCAGGAGGAAGAACTGGGGTTATGGTGGATTTTATCGGCACTAGGAGACTTACATAAATTTGAAGTGGATTCTCACGATGAATCTTCGCGACGTCGAATCACAAAGTTTAAAAAGCTATAAAGAGCAGCTCGATTCTATATGATTTTGCTTGACTGTGTCTCAACACTAGCTCCACCGGTCCAGGATGATCTCAATTATACTTTTTAAAAACTGAGAGATGTGAGGCTTGTTCACTACCAGTGTTTCTTTCTGTGGCGTTCTTCTAAACAATTGCATGGTATTCAATTAAGGCCAGAAAGACTTCGAGAATATCTCTATATGGCGTTAAATCCACACATTGCTGTTATCAAATGTGTCAAAGATTTGTGTTGTGAACTTGCTGTGAAACATCAAAGCAAATATAGCACTGCTACAGTCTCAGCAGACATCTGCTGTCATATAACGTCTGATTTTGTGTGTTATGTTATATAACCGTTATCAGACGTCTGATGTTATATGTTATATGATATAACTGTCATCAGACGTCTGATAACAGTTATATGATGTAAGACGTCTGCTAACAGTTACAAAAATCAGACGTCTGATAACAGTCCGTCTGATGCCACATAACTGTTATCAGACGTTATGTAACATAACATATAAAATCAGACATCAGACGTGTGTTGACACTTATATGACAGCAGATGTCTGCTGTCATAAAACTGTTATAAAATCAGACGTCTGATAACAGTTATATGAAAGCAGACGTCTAATAACAGTTATATGACAGCAGATGTCTGCTGTCATATATGTTATATAACGCTGTTATATAACAGTTATATATTTTATATAACTGTTATATGACAGTTATATAACAGTGTTATATAACAGTCAGTTATATATGTTATATAACTGTTACATGACTGTTATATATGTTATATAACTGTTACATGACTGTTATATTTATATAACTGTTTTATAACTGTTATATAACAGTTACATATGTTATATAACAGTTATATAACTGTCATATAACATTATATAACTGTTATAATAACATAAAACTGTTATATAATATGTTATATAACATTATATAACATATATGACAGTTATATAACAGTCAGTTATATATGTTATATAACAGTTATATAACATATATAACTGTTATATAACAGTTACATAACATATATAACTGTTATATAACAGTTATATAGCTGTTAAATAACAGTTATCTATGTTATATATACAGTTATATATGTTATATAACTGTTATATAACATATATGGCAGATATCTGCTGTCATATAGCTTTTATCAGACGTCTGACATCATATAACTGTTATCAGTCGTCTGCTGTCATATAACTGTTATCAGACGTGTGATTTTATATGTTATGTTATATAACTGTTATCAGACGTTTGATGTTAGATATCCTTTTCTCCTCAGCTCGGCACTTTTATTTTTGATAATTGTAAAGATGACAATAGAGTGTGAGAGAGATCAATATATTATTGAAAACAAGAGAAAACCAAAGGTTAAGAAGTGAGGGCGACAACGATGGAAGATGAAAACGCTGTTACTCCAACGCTGTGCTTCGCACAAGTTTCACTTGATAGATGTTCCAATGACACGTGATCAGATTCTAAGTGACCAGAGAAGATCCAGATGCGAGTGATCAAATTGCTTTCTGTGAATTCCATTCATCCTTATAAGTGGAAGTCCAAACGAATGCCGGCTACATACCTGCGATGCATGCATAATAATATCCTGAAGATGAAAGCTGCGGCCCGCAATAAAAGTGTTAATAACTCCCCGTTGCATGTCGTTGAAGGTCTCTGTAAGTGTCTCATGTTTTATTTTTGCGGTAGTTTGGCTGAGCAATTAAATTCCCAAAAAGTGCAATTCACTTCAATCAAAGTGTAAAAATGAAACATTTTATCTTTCCACGGGTGAAAAACGGCATACTGTCTCTCACAAACGAGAGAGCAAAAAGACCAGCCATTCCTGTCCGCCATGCAGAATTTCCTTGAGTAGCCTGACCTTTTGTTTCTTCCGTGTGCAGTCTTGTTTGTTCCATCAGGAGGTGTCTCAAAAATATTAATGAAGTGTTTTGATGTGTCAGGGGGTGCATGTATAATATTGAAATGCTTTAACTCAAATTAATTCGGCCCTTCAGAACTCAACTTGCTTCTACGTGGCTTTTTTTTTTGACAAGAATCACTTACACACTCTTTTAAAATAATTTTAGAAAATCTCTCAGAAAAGTAAGTAACCGGTATTTTATAGGGTTACCTTTGACTACTTTGAAGAAAATTTGAATGCAAACGTTTTTTAGGCCGCTTTCTTCCCGTTTTTGAGTCTTTTCCGGACCAAAACAAAAAGGCCATGACCCCTCCCCCCCCCAAGGGCACAATGTGCCTCCCCCCGTGTATATTTGAGTGGGGTTCACAGCTAAAAATAATTAGCAAAGACTTTTTCTCGGTCTATGTTTGATAAACACAAAAGATGAAAAAACTCCAACTTTTTGACCAAAATCATGGACTAACCCTTTTGAAAACATGCCAATGTTACGGTTTTCTTAAATCCATGTTTTTATCATCTAGAAAGGGTTGTTTTCTAACGAGAACGTCACCAAATACTTTTTCTCGGTGTGTTATGCATAAAACGAAAAGTTGAAAAAATGTTAAATTTATGACCAAAACCATGGACTAACCTCTTTGGAAAAATCAAATTCCGCGGTTTCTTTAAACCGATGTTTTCGTAGCCCAGAAAGGCTTGTTTTCTCCATAAAATGTCAAAAATCGTTCTTTCACGATGTATTATCATGATCTGTTATATGGGGATATAGTGCTTACGGGGGTTTAAAAGGGGTTACAGGGGCGCTACGAGGAGTTAGAGGGGTTTACAACGGCTTACGGCGGGTAACATATAAACTTTTTTCTAACTAGAACGCCCCAGAGAGTTTCCCTTGGTCTATTTTGCATACCAATAAAAGTTCAATAAATTGCAAATTTTTGACGAAAACGATGGACTTACCCTTTTCAAAAAAGGCGAAATTTGTTGGGTTATTGTTGGCTTTTCTATCGAGAAAGTCAGCAAACACTCTTTCCAGACCTATGCTTGATAAAAACAAAAGATAAAAAAAATTCAACTTTTTTGGGCAAAATCATTGACTAACCCCTTTGCAAAAATGCCAATTTTTCGGTTTACTTAAATCCATGTTTCTGTTGTCCCGAAAGGCCTGTTTCTAACGTGAACGTTACCAAATACTTTTAGTCGGTGTATTTTGCATAAAACAAAAAGTTGAAAAATCTAATTTTTTTCACCGAAACCATGCACTTACACCTTTGGAAAAATGCAAATTCTGCGGCTTTTAAACCAATGTTTCAACATTCCAGAAATGCCTGTTTTATATACAACGCCGAAAATCGTTTTTTTACTATCTATTTTCACAGTCTATTAGATTCCGATATAGGAAATTACAGGGTGTTACAATGGGTTACAGGGGGCTACGAGGGGCAACAGGGGCTTACAAGAGGCTGCTAGGGGTTATAGGGAGATACAATGGGTTACAATTGGTTCCAAGGGGTTACATACGGTTACAGGGGGTTTCAGATGGTTACAACGGCCAACACTGGGTTACAAGGGGTTTCTGGGGTTTACAGGAAATTACAGGGGGATACAAAGGGTTACAGGGGGTTACAAGGGGTTACATGGTTTACAAATGATTGCAAAAAACTTGTTTTATAATAGCAACGTTCCTCAGATACTTTTTCTTGGTCAATTTTGCATAAAAATCAAAGTTCAGAAAATCTCAAATTTTTGACAAAAAATAGACTAACCCCTTTGGAAAAATTATAATTATGCGTTTTTCATAAACGATGTTCTTATAGTCTTAAAAGCTTCTTTTCTACCTAGAACGTCAGCAAACATTTTTTTCACGATCAATTTTGATAAAAACAAAACATAGAAAAACTTTTCACCAAATACTTTTTCTCGGTGTCTTACTGTTCCACCTTCTCCCTTCCACTGTTCCACTATTCCTGATCCAACATCAGTTTTCCACCACTACTGTTCCACCATCACTGTTCGACCATTACTTGTCAACAATTATTGTTCGACCTTTACTGTTTTACCGTCACCGTTACACCATTACTACTCCACCATTAGTGTTCCACCACTACTGTTCCACCATCTTTGTTCCACTGTTCCACTATCACAGTTCCACCATTATTGTTCCACCATCTTTGTTCCACTGTTCCACCATCACAGTTCCACTATCACAGTTCCACCATTATTGTTCTACCAATACTGTTCCACCATTGCTATTTCATCATTAAAGTTCCACCGTCACAGTCACACCATTACTGTTCCACCATCACTGTTCCAGCATTGCTGTTCCACCATCACAGGAAAAAATAACAGATTCCCATTTTTGGATATTTTAGGGTATTTAAAGAATACCCACAAAAATCCCAAATTTGGAAGAGTAAGACAAGTCCCAATCAGGGAACTTGGTTGGGAATTCCCTGGTTGGCACTTGTCTCACTTTGCCAAATTTGGGATTTTTATGGGTATTCTTTAAATACCCTAAAAAATCCAAAACGGGAATCCTTTATTTTTTCCTGTGCATCACTGTTAACACATTATTGTTCGACCATTACTCTTCCCCCATTACTGTACCACCATTCCTGTTCCACCATGCTGTACCACCATTACTGTTCCACTATTTCTGTTCCACCATTATTGTTCCAACATCACTGTGCCACCATGCTGTACCACCATTACTGTTCCACCAATTCTGTTCCGCCATTATTGTTCCAACATCACTCTTCCACCATTACTGTTCCACCATTACTGTTTCACCATCACTGTTCCCCATTACTGTTCCACTATCACTGTTCCCCCATTACTGTTCCATCATTAGTATTCCACCATTACTGTTCCACCATTGCTGTTCCACCACTACTGTTCCATCATTATTGTTCCACCACTGCTCTTCCGTCATTACTGTTCCACTATTACTGTTCCACCATTGCAGTTCTACCATCACCAATCCACCATTGCTATTCCACCACAACAGTTCCACTATTACTGTTCCACCATTACTGTTTTACCATTGCTATTCAACCATAAGAGTTCCACCATCACTGTTACACATTTATTCTTTCACCATTCCTGTTCCACTGTTCCACCTTCACAGTTTTACCATCACTGTTCCACGAATACCACGACTACTGTTCCACCATTACTGTTCCACCATTACTTTTAAACCATTGCTGTTCCACCATTGCTGTTCCACCATTACCGTTCCACCATTACCTTTCCACCATTACTGTTCCACCATTGCTGTTCCACCATTACCGTTCCACCATTACCTTTCCACCATTACTGTTCCACCATTGCTTTTCCACCATTACTGTTTCACGACTAGTGTTCAACCATCGGTGTTCCACCATTGCCTTTCCACTTGTACTGTTCCACCATAACTGATCCGCCATTACTGTTCCATCATAGCTATTCCACCATCACTGTTCCACCGATCACTGTTCCACTATTACTGTTCCACCATTACTGTTCCACCATGACTATTCCACCATTGCTGTTCCACCATCAATATTCCACCATTGCTATTACACCCTGTTCCACCGTTACTCATCCACCATTACTCTTCTACCATTGCTATTCCACCATAACTGTTCCACCATCACTGTTCCACGATTGCTGTTCCACCACCACCGTTCCACTATTGTTGTTCCACCATTACTATTTTACCATTGCTGTTCCACCATTGCTGTTCCGCCATCGCTGTTTTACCATTACTGTTCCATCATTACTGTTCCGCCATTGCTTTCCACCATTACTATTTCACCACTAGTGTTCAACCAAAGGTGTCCCACCATTGCCTTTCCACCTGAACTGTTTCACCATTACTGTTCCATCTCCGCTATTCCACCATAAATGTTCCACCATCACTGTTCCACCATTACCGTTCCACCATTACTGTTCCACCATTGCTGTTCCACCATCAATGTTCCACCATTACTATTCAACCATACTTGTCCACTATCACTGTTCCACCAGCACCGTTCCACCCATTGCTGTTCTACAATTGCTGTTTCACAATTACTGTTCCACCACTGCAGTTCTACCATTACTGTTGAACCATTGCTTTTCTACCATAACTGTTCCACCACTACTGTTAAACTATTACTGTTGCACCAGTGCTGTTCCGCCATTACCATTCCATCATTGCTGTTACACCATAGCCTTTCCGCCATTACTGTTCCACCATTACCTTTCAACCATTACTGTTCCACCATTCCTGCTCCCCCATTACTCTTTTACCATTGCTCTTACACCATTACTGTTCCACCATTGCTCTTCCACAATTGCTATTCCACCATTACCGTTCAACCATTGCTCTTCCACAATTGCTGTTCCACCATAACTGTTCCACCATTACCGATCCACACCACTGTTCCACCAATACTCTTCCACCATTACTGTTACACTATTCCTGTTCTAGCTTTACCGTTCCGCCATTGGTATTCCACCATAACTCTTCCACCATTAGTGTTCCACTATTACTGTTTCACCATTGCAGTTCCACCATTATTGTTCCACCGTGGCTGTTCCCCAATACTTTTCCACCATTACTCTTCCACCATTGCTGTTCCAGGATTACTGTTCCACAACCACTTTTCCACCATTAATGTTCCACCATTACTGTTAAACCAATACCGATCCACCATTGCTGTTTCACCATTACTATTCCACCAGTGCTGTTCCATCATTAGTTTAGGACGATTTCACTTCCACCATTAGCGATCAACAATCGGTGTTACACAATTGCCTTTCGACAACTACTGTTCCACCACTGCTGTTCCACCATTAATGATAGGAATGACTAGGTATGACTATGTACGACTAGAGATGACTAGAGATAATTAGGGATCACTGGGATGACCAAGGATGACCAGGGATGGCTAGGGATGACTGGGAGGACAAGGGATGTTTAGGAATCACTTGGATGACTAGGGATGACTAGGGATAACTAAATATGACTGGGATAACTAGGGATGACTATGAATGACTCGGGGAAGACTAGAGATGAGTGGAATGACTAGGGATGACTATGAATGACTAAGGATGACTAGGGATGACTAGGGATCACTGGGGATGACTACGGACGATGAGGGATGACTGGGATGACTAGCGATGACTAAAGATGACGGGGGAAAATAGGGACGACTAAGAATGACTAAGGATGACTAGGGATAACTACAGATGACTAGGAATGCCTAGGGATGACTAGGGATGACTAGGGATTGACTGGGATGACTAGGAATGACTAGGGATGACTATGTATGACTGAGGATGACTAGGGATGACTAGGGATGAATGGGATGACTAAGGATAACTAGGCATGAGTAGGGATCACTAGGGTAACTAGAGATGACTAAGGATGACTGGGATGAAAGGGATGACTAGGAATGACTAGGGATAACTGGGATGACTAGAGATGACTATGGATGACTATGGATGACTAGGGATGACTAGGGATGACTGGGATGACTAGGGATTACTAAGGATGACAAGGGATGACTAGAGATGACTGTAACGACTACGGCTGCCTATGAAAGACTAGGGATGACTAGAGATGACTGGAATGACTAAGGATCACTACGAATGCCAAGGGATGACTATAGATGGCTGGGATGACTAGGGATGACTATGGATCACTAGAGATGACTAGGGATGACTAGGGATGACTGGGATGACTAAGGATGACTAGAGATGAGTAGGGTTGACTGGGATAACTAGAGATACCTTGAAAGACTAGGAATGACTAAGAATGGCTGGGATGACTAGGAATGACTGGGATGACAAGGAATGACTAAGATGACAAGGGATGACTAGAATAACTGGGATGACTAGAGATGACTGGGGATGACTTACGATGACTAAGGATGACTAGGGATGCCTACGGATGACAAGGCATGACTAGGGATGACTGGAAGGACTAGGGATGACTCGAGATTACTCTAGTGACTAGGGATGACCTGGGATAACTGGGATGACTAGGGATAACTAGGATGACTAGCGATGACAAGGATGACAAGGGATGACTGGAATGACTAGGGATGGCTATGGATGAGTAGGGATGGGAAAGGATGACTAGGGATGACTGTGATGATTAAGGATGACTATTCATCACTAAGGATAACTCGGAATGGCTAGAGTTGACTGGGATGACTAGAGATGATAGACTAGCGATGGCTTGGGATGACTATGATGACTACGGAGGACTAGGGATGACTAGGGTTGCCTTAAAAGACTAGGGATGACTAAGAATGACTGGGATGACTAGGAATGACTGGGGATGACTAGGGATGACTAGGGATGAGTAGGGATGACTGGGATGACTACGGATGACTAGGGATGACTAGGGATAAGTAGGGATGACAAAGAATGACTATGGATGATGAGGGATCACTAGGTATCACTAGGGATGACTGGGATGACTAAGGATGACTAGGGATGATTAGGGATGACTAGGGATCCCTGGGATGACTAGGGATGACCAGGGATGACTAAGGATGACTGGAATAACTGGGATGACTAGGAATGACTAGGGATGACTAAGGACGACTGGGGTGACTAGGGATGTCTAGGTATGACTGGGATAACTTACGGGATGACAATGGATGACTAGAGATAACTGTGACCACTAGGGATGTTTAGAGATGCTTAGGGATGACTGGGATAACTGGGGATGACTAGAGACGACTAGGGATGACTGGGATGACTGGGATGACTAGAGATGACTAAGGATGACTGGGATGACCAGAGATGACTAGAAATAACTACGGATGACTACGGATGAAGAGGATGACTAGGAATGACTAGGGATGACTAGGGATGACTAGAAATGACTGGGAGGACTTGGGATGACTGGGAAGACTAGGGATGACAGGTGATGACAAGGATGACTAGGAATGACTAGGAATAACTGGGATGACTAGAGATGACTATGGATGACTAGGAATGACTACGGATGACTGGGATGACTAGGGATTACTAAGGGTGACAAGGGATGACTAGAGATGACTGTAACGACTACGGCTGCCTATGAAAGACTAGGAATGACTAGGGATGACTGGAATGACTAGGGATCACTACGAATGCCAAGGGATGACTATAGATGGCTGGGATGACTAAGGATGACTATGGATCACTAAGGATGACTAGGGATGACTAGGGATGACTGGGATGACTAAGGATGACTAGAGATGAGTAGGGTTGACTGGGATAACTAGAGATACCTTGAAAGACTAGGAATGACTAAGAATGGCTGGGATGACTAGGAATGACTGGGATGACAAGGAATGACTAAGATGACAAGGGATGACTACGAATAACTGGGATGACTAGAGATGACTAGGGATGGCTACGGATGACAAGGCATGACTAGGGATGACTGGAAGGACTGGGGATGACTGGAGATTACTCTAGTGACTAGGGATGACCTGGGTTATTTGGGAGAACTAGGGATAACTAGGATGACTAGCGATGACTAGGATGACAAGGGATGACTGGAATGACTAGGGATAGCTATGGATGAGTAGGGATGAGAAAGGTTGACTAAGGATGACTATGGATGACTGTGATGATTAAGGATGACTATTCATCACTAAGGATAACTCGGAATGACTAGAGTTGACTGGGATGACTAGAGATGATAGACTAGGGATGACTAGGAATGACTATGATGACTACGGAGGACTAGGGATGACTAGGGTTGCCTTAAAAGACAAGGGATAACTAAGAATGACTGGGATGACTAGGAATGACTGGGGATGACTAGGGATGACTAGGGATGAGTAGGGATGACTGGGATGACTACGGATGACTAGGGATGACTAGGGATGACTAGGGATGACTAGGAATGACTAGGATGACAAGGGATGACTATGGATGACTACGGATGACTAGGGATGACTAGAAAAACTAGGGATGACTGGTATGACAAGGAATGACTATGGATGATGAGGGATAACTAAGTATCACTAGGGATGACTGGCAGGACTAAGGATGACTAGGGATGACTAGGGATGACTAGGGATCCCTGGGAAGACTAGGCATGACCAGGGATGACTAAGGATGACTGGAATAACTGGGATGACTAGGAATGACTAGGGATGACTAAGGATGACTGTGGTGACTACGGATGTCTACGGATGACTGGGATAACTTACAGGATCACAATGGATGACTAGAGATAACTGTGATAACTAGGGATGTTTAGAGATGCTTAGGAATGACTGGGATAACTGGGGATGACTAGGGATGACTAGGGATGACTTGGGATGGCTGGAATGACAAGAGATGACTATGGATGACTATGGATGACCACGGATGACAAGGGATGACTACGGATGACTAGGAGGGACTAGGAATGACTGGCATGAAAAAAAGATGTCTATGGATCAAAAGGGATGACTAGGGATGACTGGTATGAGTATCGATGACTAGGGATGACCAGGGATGACTAGGGATGACTAGGGATGACTGGAATGACAAGGGATGACTAGAGATGACTAGGGATGACTGGGATGACTGGGATGACTAGGGATGACTAAGGATGACTGGGATGACTAGAGATGACTAGAAATAACTACGGATGACAAGGGATGACTAGGATGACTAGGGATGACTAGGGCTGACTGGGATGAATAGGGATGACTAGGGATGACTAGGGATGACTGGGATGACTAGGGATGACTAGGGATGACTGGGATGACTGGGATGACTAGGGATGACTAGGGATGACTGTGATGACTAGGGATGACTGGGATGACTAGGGATGACTGGGATGACTAGGGATGACTGGGATGACTAGGGATGACTAGGGATGACTGGGATGACTAGGGATGACTAGGGATGACTAGGGATGACTAGGGATGACTAGGGATGACTAGGGATGACTGGGATGACTAGGGATGACTAGGGATGACTAGGGATGACTAGGGATGACTAGGGATGACTTGGGATGACTAAGGATGACTAAGGATGACTAGGGATGACTGGGATGACTAGGGATGACTAGGGATGACTGGGATCACTAGGGATGACTAAGATGACTAGGGAT